GGGAATGGATTCTGTTAGCCCATGGGCTGATAGCTACAGTGTCAGTCAACGGTCAATATCTAATATGGGTCGTTCTGACGGCCACAACCTTATTTCATATTTGAATTTTAATTCAAATCACTTGAAATTTTTTACATTTATTCTTCTTATCAAGGCACACCTAATAAAAATATTAAAAAATAATTTGTAAAATATAAATTGACCTTTGAAAATTTGTGGAGGTATTTTGATCAATTTATATTGTACAAATTATTTTTTTATATATTTATTAGATTCACTTATTCTTTGTAGAATAGACATTCAAAATTTAAAGTGATTTAGATTTTTAGAAAAAAATAAAAATTTAAACACGAAATGAGGTTGTGAACATTGAATTGAACCCATATTCAATCTGAGTCGTTGGCTGACACTGTAGCTATCAGCCCTGAGTTGACATGATCATTTCCCTTTAAAAATAAATGCTCTGTATAGGACATTCTGCTGTTTCTAATATTAGCCCTGAGCTGACATGATCATTTCCCTTTAAAAATAAATGCTCTGTATAGGACATTCTGCTGTTTCTAATATTGGACAGCCCAATAAATAGTCGTTGTGACATTTGGGCCATCGAGATGCCTCAAAAACCACAAAAATAAAAAATACAGTATGATGTTAGCAATATCCAACCAGTGGCCAACTTAAAATAAAAAATCAAAAATAAAAAGATAAGAGTTAATTGTAAAATTGAAGAGCATGAATGGACCAAAACCTAATTCTGAAAAGACCTATGGTTTGTAAGTAAATTTTCATAATAAGTAAAATCCAATGTAGGAAAAAAAGGCGATTTTTCTAAAAACCGATCAACTTATCGAAAACCGGCTAGTATCCTCTCGGTTTTATTTTTTCTAAGCGTCTCTCCCCCGTTCTCTCTCCCTCCCTCTCTTATGATAGTCTTTCATTTTCTTTCCTTCTCTTTTCTCCCATTCTCTCTCCCTCTCTCTCTTTCAAGGGCAATACGGCACCCTCCCCCTGTCTCTCCCATGGGCAATAGGGCACCTACCCTTCTCTCTCTAGGGCAATAAGGCCCTTGGCTCTCTCTCCCTAGAGAGGGAGCAGAAGTTAAAAGAGAGATAGAAAGAGAACAATAGGGATTATGCTCTATGTGTTTCTACTTTTTGCTCTAAAATAGTATGGTTCATATAAACCACATTTACTTTCCACAATAGTTACTTGGTTAGCATTTTTCCCGTGGGAAAGGTTTTTATTCTTCCCCTATAGTTCTATCTTCCTCCTACCATCCAGCTGTCCAATTTTAATAAAAAAAAGCTAATTACCGTTTGATTTTAGATTTGACGTTTCAAAGTATTTTATTTTTAGTTTTTTTTTTTACAAATTATATGAATATGAAATTCGGTACGTGCCATCTTTTCATTAGGACGCATCTATAAAAAATATTAAAAATAATTTTTCGATAAAATATAATGACCAAAATATGTTTTGAATCTTTTAGGGGTATTTTGATCATTTATTTTATTAAAATTTTTTTTTTATATTTTTCACTAGTGCGAGTTTAATAGAGAAATGGGCATCCAAAATTTGGTGTCAAAATAGTTTATAAAAAAAATTAAAAATAAAATACTGTAGAGACTATTGTGATTGAAACATTCTTAGCCCTCCATTCAAAATGAACGGTTGGATAAAGGGAGGATACAACTTCTATGATGTAGAAAAAACATATAAAGCTTGCCCTTCTCCCTTTTGCCTAAGTTTAACTTCAAAGTTGTAACATCACATATTCTTACATCATCCTGCTTCATACATGAGTCACCCAATTACATCTTACACCATAATGAGGGCCTCATTTTTTTTAAATCTCGACTCTTAACCTAACTTTTTTTTTCTTTCTCTCTGTATTTCTTTTATTTTTTCAGTAATTTTATTTTTTTCAAGATAATTGTAGGTAATAACAAAATATAAATAAAATCTATATTTTTTATTTTTTTTTATTTTCTTTTGGGTTTTTTTTACCCATTTTAAAAAAAAGATTTACTTGACCGTCTTGGACGAGTTAACCGGCCCGGTTCTAAATTACTCGGAAATGGCCCATGAGAGGTTGACCGAGCCAATTTGATTTTTCCTACAAAGGTCTCAACTTTAAACTTTAAAAATCCAAATCGACCCGGCCTTGGGGGGCCCGATTCGGATTCTCTCTCAGGGTCCAACGACTACCTAGTCCAACAGGAGTATAAAAAAAGAACAAACTGGAGGTAATTCCGAGGATTTTGTTCCCTGAATTGTCCACCTGTTGATTTGGATTGGACTCAACCATGGCGACTTTTGAATCACTATTGGAACTTTTTCTTTTCTTCAATCTATCCGCCTCTCTCCCTGTCTGCCTTTCTCTCTCTATCAGAAATCTCCCAAGTGAGGTTCCCGGTAGTATGAAATATGGGGACAGGGTGTTTTCTCTCGTCCTGCTCCTGGATTTTAAATGCGAAGGCAAGGGATGTATTAACTCGGTACCAATCCCCCTTACATTGTGATTCTCACAATTATACTCACACATGTAGGAAAAATTTGCGGGTCAAACTTAGAACCGGCTGAGTTAACCGGAACCGGGCACTGGCCTAGCCCGATTTTCATCAGTTTCGGATTGTATCCGGGGGTTGGAGCCAATGTTCGCAAAATCAAATCGGAATGGTTAGCCGGATATAGGCCCAGAAGCGGTTTAGCGGGCCTAATTGGTAAACCGGCTGATTCAATCACTCTAATCGGGCAAGTCCCCGGCCGTCAAAAAAATGTTAAACAAATTTTAAAAATTCAAAAAAAAAAATCTACTAAAATATGGAAAACATATAAAGAATGATTAAAACAAAACACATTCAAATGAAGTTTAAAATTAATGGAAAAAATGGATTTTAACTAATCTATTTGTACTTAGGGGTATTTTTAAAATTTTATGAAAAAGATGTAAAAATATAAAAGTGAGCATTAATGACCAAAATTTTTAATAATCTTTACCATAATGTAAAGAATATTAAAAAAATGCATTACAATTCAAATTCATTATTTTCTGGGAATTTATATATATTTTTTTGAATTATTTATAAAATACTAGTTGATTACCAAAACCGCCCAAAACTTGGCCGTTCCGATCTAACCGAGCGGTTAAAGGTTAGATCATCTAGTTTTGAGAACATTGGCTGGACCTAGTATTCGTAAAATCGAACCATAACGGTTAACCGGATATTGGCCCATAAGTGGTTTAACCGGTAAACCGGTCAATTCAACCACTCTAATTGGGCAAGTCCCGGGTGGTCAAAAAAATGTTGAAAAAAAAAAAAAGATACAATTTTTTTATTAAGATAAAAAAGATATATAAAGAATTATTAAAACAAAACATATTCAAATGAAGTTGAAAATTAATGAAAAAAACATAGATTTTAGCGAATCGATTTGTGTCTAAGGGTATTTTAAATTATTTTTTTAAATGATGAAAAAATATAAAAGTGAGTATTAATGATTAATTTTTTTTTTAATCTGTACCATTATGTAAATAATATTAAAAAATACATTACAAATCAAATTCTTTAGTTTTGAAAATTTATATACATGTTTTTGAAATTTTATTTTTTAAATAACGGTTGATCACCGAAACCGCCCAAGATCGGAACCAAGCCCGTTCCGTTCTAACAACTGCACGGTTGCTGTTAGATCACCGGATTTTGTGAACACTAGTTGGACCTCATACAGGACCAATCCATAACCTATTGGTTTTTATTTTGAACCGGCTGGGTTAGACCCAAACTGGGCGGTTCTTTTCTTGGGGCCGGCCAATTTTCTAAATATCTATTTCTCTCACGTTCTCTCTCCCTTCTTTCTCTCTCGTTCTCTCTCTCATTTTCTCTCTCTCAATCGCAACAGGGACCTGCCGTTCTTTCGCTCTCTACAGCAAGCCCTTGGAATTCTCTCTCCCTCTCTCTCTCTAGAGAGGGTGAAGGAGAAGTGACAGAAAAAGAGGGAGGTCTCTCTCCAACTACCTCTCCCTCTCTCTCTCTGGCTTGCTCTATTACTTTTTTTTTCTTTATATTAAAATAGTATGGACCGCATTTATATTTTACATTGTTTGTGTTAAGCCTCACTTTTTTCCAAAATCTCAAACTCTCAACCCCACTAGTGGGTCGAGTCCACCACCGCCTCTCCTTTCTCTGTGGTTCTGAGTTAATCGAAACAGGCCGGCCCCTTGAGCTGCCAGGTCCGATATTTGGGAACTCAATTCCTGCCGTGAAAGTTGTTATCGATGAGAGAAAGAGTGAGTTCCGTACTTTGAAAACCAGGGATTCCCAGTTCCATGACATTCTCACTGCACTTGTCAAACCAATCCAATGTGTTGTACCTGTGCTCGCACCTACTTATATCCCACCCTACCCTACCCTACCCTATTCTTCCCTTCCAAAATGCCAATGCCAATGCCTTACCCGTCAAAAACCTACTCAAAACACAACCAATACTCCGTTTGATATCAAATAAATCCCCACCAATCTGTTACGACTTCCCCCGTCCCTCCCTTTTTCTATCTCATAAATAAGCACGCACGCACGCGCGCACGCACGCACGCGCGCACGCACGCAACCCACATAATATCTTCCATTTCCCCTCTCTCTCTATCGCCCCTTGTGTTCTTTCTGTAACATACATGTTTCTCTAAAAATCACTTGCAAACACTCTCTCTCCACATAAAAACCCACCAACCCCCTTTCCTTGTATTTTCCCCCTCTCTCTCCCATTCTTTCTGTAATATCTACAAAAATCTCTCAGATTCTATGCATTCATTCTGCAACATCTTTCTTTAAAAAGCTCTCAAATTCTCTTTCTTGCAAGCCCGCTCTGGATTCTTTATGCAACATCTTTCAATAAAAAGCTCTCAAATTCTCTTTCTTGCAAGCCCGCTCTGGATTCTTTATGCAACATCTTTCAATAAAAAGCTCTCAAATTCTCTTTCTTGCAAGCCCGCTCTGGATTCTTTATGCAACATCTTTCAATAAAAAGCTCTCAAATCCTCTTTCTTGCAAGCCCGCTCTGGATTCTTTATGCAACATCTTTCAATAAAAAGCTCTCAAATCCTCTTTCTTGCAAGCCCTCTCTCTTTCCCTGCATTCTTTCTATAGAAATCGCTCTGTCCTCCTCATACAACTTCTGCACCAAGCTCACTACCTCTTGTTCTTGCAAATCTTTTCTGAACCATTTCTACCGCTAATCGATACCTCTTTTCCTCAACAAAGTCCACCCTCAATCTTCCATCTCTCTCTCACTGCTCCAAAATATTTTTCCAACAACCTCTCAAACTCCGGTTCTTCTCTCTCTCTCTCTTTCTAAATCGAATTCTTGAGTTCTTGACTCCCTGATCTTTTTCACCTCGCCGGTAAAACCATTCCAGGGTCGGAAAATGAAGTTTCCGGCTATTCTCCTCCCCCTCTTGCTCTTCTTCTTGTGTTTCTGGAGATCGGAATCCCAGACACCGTTCCTAGACGGCGGCGGTGCATGGGAGGTCCTCCAACAAAGCATTGGCATCTCGGCCATGCACATGCAGCTCATGCCCAACGACAAGGTCGTCATGTTCGACCGTACGGACTTCGGCTCCTCAAATATATCCCTCCCTTCTGGACAATGCCGAACCGATCCCCACCAGGAAGCGCTAACGCACGATTGCTCTGCCCACTCGGTCGAATACACCATCGCCACCAATTCCATACGCCCACTCACCATCCAGACCGACACGTGGTGCAGCTCCGGCTCGTTGGATCGAAACGGGCAGTTGATCCAGACCGGTGGTTTCCGTGATGGCGATCGCGTTGTCCGTACGATCTCATCTTGCGACGCCTGCGATTGGACGGAGTATCCCGAGAATCTGGCCGTCCGGCGCTGGTATGCGACGGACTTGATCCTGCCAGATGGCCGCATCATCATCGTTGGTGGCCGCAGGCAGTATAATTACGAATTCTACCCTCAACAAAACCCGAATCTCTTCGAGTTAGGGTTTTTAAGAGAGACGAGCGACCAGGACGAGAACAACCTTTACCCTTTTCTCCACCTCTTACCCGATGGTACCCTCTTCATCTTCACAAATACCAGGGCCGTCCTCTTCGACTACAATGGTAACCGGGTGCTGCGAGAGTTACCGGCTATTCCCGGTGGCGAGCCCCGAAACTACCCCAGCTCGGGCTCGTCCGTGCTCCTCCCCCTCACCTTAACCGGTGAAGCCGGTCAAGAAACCGACCCGGAGATTTTACTTTGTGGTGGGGCCCCATTCGGCTCTTTCGACAAGGCCGTGCAGGGCGAGTTTCTAGAAGCTTCTAGCACGTGCGGGAGAATAAGGCCGATGGACCCTCAGGCCCAGTGGGCCATGGAGACGATGCCCATGGGGCGTGTCATGGGCGATATGCTCCTCCTCCCTAACGGCGAGGTCCTCATAATTAACGGCGCTGGTAACGGTACGGCTGGCTGGGAATTCGGGAGAAACCCTGTGAAAACGCCCGTTATTTACAGTCCGTCATTACCGTTAGGCCAGCGTTTCCAAGTTCTGAACCCTTCTTCCACACCCAGGCTTTATCACTCTACGGCCACCGTTATTCCAGACGGCCGTGTTCTGGTAGGAGGAAGCAATCCACACACTCTCTACCAATTCTATAACCAGGAGTTTCCGACCGATCTCAGCCTCGAGGCTTTTTTGCCGCCTTATCTCTCTATGCAGCACCTAACGAGGAGGCCGAGGATCGTTTCTTCGTATACACAGCCCTTGAGCTATGCACAACCCACAGAGGTGATGTATTTTCTGGCTGACCCGTTACCGATGGGTGAGATAACGGTCAGGCTTCTGGCCCCGTCTTTTACGACGCATTCTTTTGGGATGAACCAGAGGCTTCTGACACTTAAAGTAGCGGGTGAGGTGGTGCAACTTTCGTTATTTACGTATAGGGTCACTGTGCTGGCCCCTCCAAACCCGAACATTGCTCCACCCGGGTATTATATGATGTTTGTTGTGCACTCTGGTGTTCCAAGCGCTGGTGTTTGGGTTCAGATGCAGTAGCCTCGATTCTTGCTTTTCTTAATTCAAGGGAGATAACTCATAGTGTGTATGCTTTAGGAAATTGTACACCACCTTCTTAATTCAAGGGGGATGAGTATTAAGTGTACACCACCTCGTAGTGCGTATGCTTTAGGAAAATGTACACCACCTATTCTTTGTTCTTTATTTTTCTACTGTATTGTTGATATAAGGGTGTCGAGGTTTCCATGGCCTAGATCTCTCAGCTGTATTTTGTGGGTCTCCTCTTTTTTTTTCTCTCCTTTTTTTATTTTTGCATTTTGTGATTGAGCAGCTATCATTTGTAGAACGCAATATATGATGGATGGGGAAAAAGTTGTTAATTTTTTTTTTAGTTTTCTCCCTTTGCTTTCCTTCTTCTCTTCTTAATATTTATATATTCGCAAGAGGAGGCTATAGTTGATTGTGAAATTAAGCGATTCCCCCAAACAAAAGCTATGATCATGCGACTAATGAAGTATACCATTAGTTAGTTTATGAGTTGGTGGTCGAGCACCACTACAACAAATTACTTTGACATGCTTTGCTTACCTTGCAATTAAATAACCGACGCTAGTGCACTAGCCCGGCCCGGGTTCTTACTAGGTCACAAACGGTGTAGGAACTAGGCCGGTCAACTGGTCATGGGTCGGTTCTGAATTACTCAAGCCCGTTAACTGGTCTGAGCCTAGCAAGTTTTTTTTTTTAAAAAAAAAAAGGTCAAAAAACCCAAAAATAAATATAAAAATTTAAAAAAATGTATTATTTACATTTTGTTATTACCTACCATTATCTTGGAAAAAAAGAAATGAAGAAGTGATGGCCTACTGAGACCCACTAGTGGGGTTGAGAGTTAGAACTTTGGGAATAAGTGAGACCCTCTTGGGGCAAGGTGTGATCGGGTGAGTCAACGTGTGAGGTAGGATGATCGTACAAATATGTGATGTTCTCCCATTGAACTTAGGCAAATAGGAGAACCGTTACCGTTAAAAATATATCTGAATCGTTGCTTGAGGTAACTACTGCAAATATGTAAAAAATAAAAAGAGATAGAGCAAGCTATATAATTTCTTTATATCTCTCTAACTTCCTCTCCATCACTCTAGAGAGAGAGGGAGAGAGAGAAGGCCAAGGGCCCTGTTAGCCTTAACAGTGAGGGGAAAGAGAAGGGCAGGTGTCCAATTGCCCTTGAGAGAGAGAGGGAGAAAGAGAAAGACACTTAGAAAAAAAATAAAAAAAACAAAACCGGCAGAATTGGGAAAAACAAGGCTCGGCCAATGCCCGGTTCCAGTTAACTCAGCTGGTTCCAAGTTAGAATGGCCAATTTTTCCTACACTGACCACAAATTAACAGTAAAAAAATGGGAGAGCCAACATTCAACAACAAAAGTACAACATATGGGCCTAGAGGGGCCAGGATTGACTCAGGGCAGGGCTGAGTTTGGGCCTAGTGCTTCATAGCTGGGTAACCCGACCCAGCTCTGTTAATGGTTCGGCGGACCACTTGGGGAAGACAGGATTTAACATTGCCTTTTTGAACAACATGTGTATACAAAGCTAATCATACTCTCTACATAAAAGCCAGTTCTCCATTACTCTCTCTCCTGCTCTCTCTACAAAGCAAATCCTACTACTCTTTTTCAAACTTGTACGCTCTCTCTCCCGTTATGCAACCAGTTCTACAACTCCCCCATAAAAAGCCAATCTTTCCAAAGCTTTACTGGTTTATCTCCCACTCGAACGTACAAAACTTGCTCTCTTCCTTTCCCTAACCCACAAATCTTGCTTTCTTCCGCTCTCTCTTTACACCGATAAATTGAAATGATCTTTGTTTTATCGTAATATTTTCCATCATCACTAATAACTCCAAAAATATATCCGTAAATGAACTTATAACGATAAGTCAAAAACCTTTACCAACGAGTTCATCACGATATTTTGGAGATTGTGGATACAAGGTAGCCTTTCTTCAACTCATTTATTGTACTCATCGTGAAAGAAAGACATGTAATCTTTTATCGGGGAATACAATTTAATTTTTTTTTTTTTCACCCCTTTCTTTTGGTAAAAGATCACTTACGAGTGGTCTTTATTATAATAAAATAAATTTCAAAATAAAATCAACGAAACAATAAAACTAATATTTTAACAACTTGATGTCATTTAAACAACTATGCACCATGTTTGAGAATAAACGATAAGATTGCAAGAAACAAAACGCAAGAGTGTCAAAGATTATTTCAATCGGGCTTATTATACCCCACACCGAGTCACCACCATCCGATGGCGCGATATCAACTGTTTAGCTTCAATCTCGAACCGAGAAAACAAATTTCGGTCAAGCCACACCAATGGAACATGAACCCCTTTGATCCCAAACTCAAATCCTAAGTGAATTCTCTTAGCAACCTAGTTTGAGAGAGATTGGAGAGAAGAACTCCATAACCTAAACCCTATGGTTCTTTTCCTTAGCTTGCTTGTTCTTGTGAGATTGAACATAGACCGTCGATCAAGGGTGACTTGTAGGGTGAGAGATCTGAGTCATCTATTCCATAGATGGGCCATCAATATTATGGAAGGTGCATGAACCATTATCCCCTTCCTAAACCATTTTCCCATGAATATATTTAAATAAAATAAATATCATGTATTCTATAAAATTGCACTATCCATGTCACATATTCCATAAGGATATGTCAAATAATATCAAGTAGATAAATACTACCAAATATAAATAAGATTAGATTCATATCAATTCAAATTGACGATATATCTTTAAAACAAACTTGCTACAAAATAGATAAAGCTATGGTCAATATATCTCTTCCAAGATTTGACCACATGCCACAAATAAAACTAACATTATCTTAAAAGCAAACAAGAGAATCCAAAGATGGTGGGGCGTGCCACCCTTTTGTGGCACATGTGGGCCCCTACCCACATGCCACATGGTGGGCCCATGTGCACTATGGACTCCCATGGAATATTATAAAAAAATGCTATTTTTAAAATTGAATAAAACAATTTAAAATATATACTTGAATTTTTATAACTTTGTAATAACAATAAC